AAAGTCTGATATCTAAAACCTTAGGGTATGAGCATAAAAGTTACTTCCAACGTACCATCATAAAAGAACGGTCCACATAGAAGTTCTGCGTTGCCTTTGGCGTTGGTTTGACAGAACGCACGTTAAAAATATGATTGCTACAATAAACGCTTGGCAGCGAATGCTTTGACCACTAAATGACTAAGTTCCCACGACAGTCGGGTCTACGTAACCGGAACGACCTAGATTTATATCTGGCCAAGGACTGTCACTCCAGCAACACACCCCAAAAACCGAATGGGGAACTTGTATGCTGTTTTAAGAGAAAACAACAACGTAAAGTCGTCAGTGGGATAGCGGAGCAAAGAGCATTGAGCAATCATGACAAACGCTTGCTTCGCTTTGCGTGACAGATTCGCTGTAACAGATGAGATGAATCAATGCTCCTTGCTCCGCTATCCCACTGACGACTTTACGTTGTTGTTTTCTCTTAAAACAGCATACAAATTCCTCGAGGTTTTGGGCTGTTGATGGAGTGTCAGTCCTTGGCCATATATAAATCTGGGTCATTCAGATTACGTAGACCGACAGTTGTGGGAACGAACGATTTTACGTCGAACGGGGTAGTTTTGTAAAACCAACCCATATTCATACCGGTCAAAACTATCGATAAGTACTCAAAGTTATCGGTTTTTAAGCGAAATACACAAGTGCACAGGAATTGCTCATGGTTGGGCTATTCCAGAAAACTAAATCTAGAATTTTATTAATGATTTGTTTTACTTTTAACATTAATTCAAAAATAGAATTTAATTTAATGTAAACAAAACGGAGTGGAACAAGTCTTCAATCAGGGTTCTGCATTGCGCAAGTCCGTTGTATTTGACAAGTGAACGTTCATTGTTTATAAACAAGTGTTATCAAAGCGTATCCCAAGTCACAAAACAAAAACAAATTTTGTAATCAAATAAACACACATGAATTTTGTAAAAAAATCACTCACCAATGCACATAGATAAAAGAAATTGAGAAAAAACTGGAATTAAAAGAGCGATGGGGGATTGCGTAAATAGCCGCATTGAAAACTGATGAGCGTTTTCTTCTTCCCAAAGGACCCAAAGCAACCGGAAAATGTTTGGTGGTTTTTCCGGTTTAAAGCAAGGAGAAGTTGTCAATCTTTAAAGAATTTCGGATGAGATTTGGCTTTTCAAATTCTTCGAATTTACAGGTACTTATCGGATAAACATATAGATGGTGTTGTGCAATAACGACGCAATTAAAATAAAAAAAAATAAAAACTGTTACTACTGTTAAGTGGCTAATGTTCCTAATCCTTGTCGAATAAATGTCTTATCTTTAGTACTTACCTAAGCAATCCTTACTGCTTACTTTAGTAAGGGATGGGAAGATTAGGCAAGGATTAGAGAATAGAGCCACTTAACAGTAGTAAGTTTTTATTTATTGAATTTTGAAGTGTGTCGTTATTGCAGAGGACCATCGATATGAGCTTTGTACATGCATACATACATATATAAAATAGAGATTCTTCCCAGAGGGAAAAGTAGTAATCAGGCAGGTTCTGCCATACACTTCCGAGTGAATTTCAACCCCATTCAATTTTAATTCAAAGTTATGAGTTCTAGATTCTATTAATGTTTAATATGTAATCAGTATTCGAATGTATCCAAAAAGTCGGAAAAAATTCATATTAAATCGCATTCTTTCCTGCATTACTGGTAATGCACAATTGAATGCCCCACTTTTCTTAGGGCATAGACGTAGGAGAAAAAATTAATTTTCGAATGTGAAGACGGCTGTTTTACTGATTATTTTTTTTCGTTTACCTACGATACATTACATTTTACCACTGGGTTTAGAAACTGTTTATTAACTAAAGTTTCTTTGCAACGTATTTACCAAATTGGTAGTGTAGAATTATAAACAAAAATAGTATGAAGTAATTTGGTATTTATATTTTTTTATAACAGGAAGTTCGTAAAATTATTAATATATAGTAATAAACAGAAAAATAAGTACACAAGTCAGCGTAAAAGGCCTCGAATCCGCAATTTATCTTATACGGCGGAATTTTTCGTTGATATAGGGAATTTTACCACTGCTAGAGATATTAATCGACGCCAGCAAAACCTTGACTGCCCTCAATAGCTTTAACTAGTTTATCTTTCAACTGGACATAACCTTCGTATGGTGGTAGATCCAAACGATTGAAACTGAAACAGACAGAAATTACTTAAAATTTAGTAAAAAAAAAACTAGGTATTCACGAACCATGTATGTGCTCTAGGATAATTGTTAGGAGTACCCCATTTTTCTATGGTAAACATTTGCGGACCATTTGAACCGTACAACTCTTTGAAGCCATTCATTGGAACGCGTGATGTGCCAGTAACAAACTGTAATAAACGTGAACGCATCTCGTTCGAAAATGAGAGCACTGCACGCCAAAACCATTGAATTATTATATGATTTTGATGATAGTCTCCCTTGTATAAAGTATTTTCTCGCCAATCCTTCACGTCAATATTCTGAATGCCACACATTAACAATTCTAACTCGTGTTCGTCAAATATCTTAATTAAATTTAATGGAATTATTGAGCCAAATCCATCCAAAAACGATGACATCTGTTCCTTGACTCTTGCAACAAAACGCCATTCAATAACAAGTCTGAAATTGTACAATTGAGTATTTATGATCATGCATAGTAACATATTGTTGTACACACTTAATATATTCATCTTTATTTTCGTCAGTAACTTCAATATTGGAGCCTCCTGGCTTTAGTTCGTGTTGACTCTTTTGGCCAAACGTGTCTTCATCCAATGAAAAAGTCAATTCCAATTGCCGGGGATCATTCTCTTTTATCCACATCAGTGAATTATAATACTCGGTATCAACTGATTCCATATCCTTTAAATCAATTGGCTTTTGAAGCATCATCTTATAAAATGGACGAATGAAAAATGCATCTAATAGTTTGCCATGATAAACAGCCATACCAGCAATGCGACCAATGAATCTATGGAAAAATTGATAATAACAGATTTGTTAACAAACAGTCGGAGGATTAACAATTAAGCTATTTATTTTGAAAGCGGTTTTTTCGTTAACCAATTTTATTACAGAAATTTCTTACAAAATCAAAACCAAAATCTTATTAGTATCACTTAAATGGTTTGATTTCCATATTTTCAACGTTCTTAAACAAACTGGCTAAAAATTTATACCAACTTGAAATAACTCAAATGCTCCTCATTGCATAAACCACTGCCGTTATTAATTTGTAATGTGTAATTATCCATTGCCGAATATTCAAACAGTCCATAGTATGGATTAAACATTTCCTTTGACAGCAAGTAGAACCATTCCCTTGCCAGACCACCATAATCTTCAAAATGAAACATTTTTGTAATTTTTTGCGAAATAAAATAAACGTTTTCTTTACCTAATCCCGTTTCACCCTCGAATTCTACCCAC